TTTCTTTTGAATACTTCAGTCAGAGGCTTGTATTGGATGTTTGCACTTGTTGATCAAAGCTAATTTTTGTGAGAAAGAACTAAATTCTTCTGTATAGCCGTTAAACAAAATGTTTTAAGAAACTGTTATGCTTATTAAGAATAGTATTTACTAGTGAATAGCTGCAATTTATTTTACAGAATCTCCAGTTTTGAAATAAATGGACAGGCTTCCTAATCTGTTACCTGTGGGTTTGTCCTTGTGGATTCTAATTGTTGAATTTATTAATTGTTATTATTATATATTGTATCTATTATATATATTATTTTTTATCTATCTACACATTTTCATGCCTAGAAACTAAATGCATGTTCTAGGAGGAAAGACCTCAGTAAAGACTGCAAATTCATAAAGTGCATTGTTTCCCACTTACCCAAAAAGTGACTTTTCATTTTGGAGGAAGCATCCAAACTTTTTTTCTGGTCAACAAACAAATGGATTCAAAAATTCTATAAAGGGGAAGAATTACTAACTTATTAATGCATAGAAACTGGCATTATAAAGGGAATCATGGAAAAGCTTACAAAAACAGTTGTGCTTAATTATTTACTGTTCTTACAATTTGTTTATCTGGGTTGTGTTTATATATATGTTTAGACTTGGGCATTAGTAAATTACTAGCTGCAGTACCATTTCATATTTACTATGTAGTTTCCCCCTACATCTTAATTCCCTGTGCAGTATATGAGAAAAAGAAAATATAATACAATAGAGTTGCAATACAGTTCAGAATTTGCCCCATGATGTGTGTCCTGAAAAATATATCTAAATTGGATAAATACACTGAAAGGAAATGGCATATGGGAAAGGTATAGGAATGCTTCCTCTCTGAAAGTTTCATGGGTATCACGCTTTAGGACTTGTAAATATTCCTCTAATCCTTCTACAAAATCAAATCACCTCACATGTTTTCAAAGTGCTTTTAACCACTCCTGCAGTGGTTGTACTTGCCTATTGGACCAGCCTTCCCCACACCCAAGTGTACATAGCAGGAGAATATTCATGGTTCTGTTGAGATTTTGGGATATTTGGGCCCAGTCCTGATAGCAATGTAGATTTCCAGAATCATAGAACAGTTTGGACTGGAAGAGACCTTAAAATGTTATCTAGTCTACCTGCTCTGCCATGGGCACCTTCATCAAATCAGGTTGCTTGAAGACCTGTCCAGTCTGGCCAAGTGTTTCCAGGGATAGGGCATCTACCACTTTCCATAACCAAAACTTTAAAATCTCTAAATACACTTTGGTTTTTGGTTTTGTTTTGGTTTGATTTTTAAATATTTTTTTTTTTTTTTGCTACTGACATTGTGGTTAGGAATTTGCAAGTGCACTGGGGAGGGAGGGTGCAAAATTCAAATAGGTAAGATTGGTCATCTCAGTGTGTGGAAGCAGAGTATACTTTTACAGTGGTATGAGATCCAAACTTTAGTTCAAATTCAAACATAGCAAGACAGGAACCATTGGACTGGTTTTCTTTTAACTACTCTGGGATAAAAGTTATTCTGACAGAAACTCAAAAATAATCTCCCTTATTCTTGTTGTGTAATTACAGTTATTGTAGCTTGAAGATTATGTATATGCAGTGTTGGAAACACTGGATTCATCTGGACCTTAGCAGCAACAAAGACAAGCACAGGGTTCATTTCAGATAAGGAGCCCTACACGTGTACACACTGAGTATGCACTTGGGTTGTGCAGGAGCGCAGACCTCCTAAGGATAACCTGTGGCTATCACACATATTCTTGGTGGTGGTGTAAACTGAAACCTTCATTCTCTCTTCAGGGCTCATTTTACCTGGTCAGTAAACAAAAGCCAGCAGGAGCACGGATATAGCAAAGCCTTTGACTTGAGCTGTGCTCTCTCTTATGACACCAATATATGGTGGTAATCTTTTCTTGAGTTGATATTTCTACTGATGTTACAAGGATTATTTCCAGGAGAGCTAATTGCAGCAATATATGAGATGCCTTTTGTGACTAACTCCATTCCTTGGTGAGACAGTACCACTGGATTATCACAGTCCTTGGCAAACTACTCTTTGTCTTGGAATGTCATATAACATATGATCAAAGCAAAATGTATAGCTCCATCTGCTGTAAATACTTTGAATTTATTATTTTTCATTTCTTTTTTATGTTTGCTCTGTATCCTGGGGAACAGATTTATCACTCTGCTGATAAGTATTTTCTGTATGTTATCAAGAATTGACATGCATATAGATTTATATGTTGTAAAGTGATATTTCTTGGTTCTCAGGCATAAATGAGCATTAACAAGGGTATATCTCAAGGACATCAGTAACTTCTATTAACTGTTGTATGACAAATCTTTCGTATTGTGCCATTGCAGCTACTTGTAAATTGCTCCCCTTTTTCAGTAAAAAAACCCCATCAGGTGAAGTCCCGGGTGACTGGAAAAAGGAAACCCTGCACCCATTTTTAGAAAAGGCAGAAAGGGAGAGCCTTTCCCCCTTGCTCCTCTGGTTCCCTACTGGCACAAACTTGAGAGGAAACAGTGCAGTACTCAGTTCTTCAAGGGTTAACATCATCAGTAAAGCTGAGCAAAACTTTTCCTTCTTGCTGCCCATGTTCAGGAGATGTTTGTAGTCACACCAGAGTCTTTTGTGACTCCCTCCTTTTTCTACTTTTGATGTATTTATAAATTTATAGGAAAATTAATCACAGTATCCAAACCCATTGTAGCTTTGATGGCATAAAAAAAAGCCAAAAATTATTTCTAAAGGAGTTGGAAGCCAATTTTGGTTTAAAAATATTCTCTCTCTGTGAGGCATTCCAGAAAAGCCAACCGAATTACAAGCTCAGAGTTGAATACAAATCTTGTGGTTGACATAAATTTTGTTCCCAATTTTTTTTCAGCCACTGGTAGCTATATGGGGTCAAAAACGGATTTTTTTCCTAACAGAACATTTATTTTTCTCCATCCCTCTTCCTTACCAGTGATTTAAATTTGTTTAGTTTCTTCAGTGATGTGTCACTGTGATAGAGACACTCTAGAGACTGTAAGTAGAAGATGATGGAGGAGATCATCAGTCTGGAGAAATCCAAGGAAAAAGCAGGGAACTTTGCCTGGGAAATGCTGCCAGGAGACAGAGGGGTCAGTTTCCAAACTACATCAGCTCATATCCTCATGTCAGTAATTTAAAGAGGTAAAAAAAAAAAAATAATTTAAGTTTTTCTTGCACTAAGGAAAATATCCTTGGAATTACGAAGTCTGGGTCACTGAAGTGGGAAAACATGCCAATATTTTTCTTTTTTAATGCATGTTAGGGTGAGACAAAGATTCATGCAACCTAACACCTTGTTAAAATCTAAGCCTCAGTTTTAGAAATTGAATCTTCTTTCTTCCAACTTCCTTCTCTATAATCATACCTGCAGCTTTTTCTCATAATACCCTGCAGGCGTTATTATTAGCAACGTGTTTTAAAATGTTTGCAGCTGCTCTTTCCAGCAGTGATTCACAGCTATGAGCTGGAAAACCTGGTAGCCAGACTGGGGGCTTCTTGAGAGGAAAGCCTCAAGGAAAAATTTCCCAAGTGGAGGGCAGAATAGACACATCCTTTCCTGGCCAGAAACTAGAATGCAACACTTGGGCAGCTATTTCCTTGGTAACTGCCAGCTTGTTTCAAAGTGCGTTTCTGAACCAGGGTGTGACACGGGGTCAGAAGACATCGCGGCTGGTACCGACAGCAGGGAACAACAGAGGTCACCATTGTCGCACAGGATGGAACCTCTTCAGAGCCCATTTTAGACCCTGGAGCTGAAATGCCTGGTTTCCACCAGTGTGATTGGACAGTTCTGTAGCAGGAACAAAGACAATTCTTTGTGACAAAGTGATCTTTAATGACAGTTTTCCTCTTTTCTAACCCAAACAGAATCTTTCTTTAATCTTAGTCAATGTAAAAAACCAGAAAAGCCTCCACTCATCCCTAATTTTTTTAAAAAGGGAGATCGATGTCTCTATTTTCTTGTTGTCTAACAACAGTTACCCCATAAAGTAAATATCAGTATTTATAGTACTAAAGATATGGGGAATGCTGTTACTTGGTACATTGTTACTTATTCTTTTCCAGATTTTAATAGTTGGGTAGTGTGTCCTTTTCATCCCACAGCCTGTTTGCTTTGTTTTTATGGTTGGTTGTGTGGTTTTTGTACCAAACTCTGAATGCCAACCAGTTTGAAGTATGTGGAGATTTCAGTTGCATCTCACACTGATGAGATCATCTCACTTTAAAAATGTTTGTAAGGAATTTGTGAAATCAACATAAAAGTACATTTTTAATTTGGGGTTAAACTCTGAAGGTTAGGTCTAATTACACAAATATATGACATCAAATATCTTTTTCTTATAATAGAGAGAGGGTAGTGGGGACAATATTGTAAGGAACAGCACAGATTGTATCCTGTGCTTTTAAATCAAAAACTCCTGTCAGCAGGCAGGCTCAAAGAGGAATGAGCTGTGGAGAAAGACACCCAATTTTATAAGAAAATAACTTCCAGAATTCTCCTGGCATTTGTCTATTTTGTTTTCTAAGTATTCTGCTTGCTTTCTCTTTGAACCTACTTGAAATGGATAAATTTCATTCTTTAACCATGGTCTGCACTAAGGAGGGTTTCTTTCTGCTCTATTTTATGTTAGAAGGAATCAAGAATGCCAATTTCCTTCATTACTTCAGCTAAAATTGGAAAAATAGACCCATATGCTCTGACAGTTCCCACTGGATAAGACTGAACAGCTGCTCTTCTTCCTCAGCTTTTGTCATGGGATATAATTATTCTTCCATCCATAAAAAAACAGAAGGATGCCCTTTCAATCCTATAAAAATACCCAGTACTGTAACACTTAACAACATAATGGCAGGCATTACAGAAGTTCTGTTCTAAACAGCAGCAGAGGTTTGTGCCAAGAAAATACTTAATTTGATAATATCCCAGGCCTCTAGATCACTTTGAATCTGAAGTAATTTTATTCAGGTTGTTTTAAATGGATCTTAGGAGTGCTCCAGTCAGCTTTATCTTTTTCATACTGATTTTGCAGGCACACTGTGTTACCATGGCAAGTCCCTGGTAGAGAGCAGACAGAAGGAGGAAGCAGGATGTCCAGCAAACAGATCTTCCATTGAAAACAGACTGCCTTCCACTCAGCTTACAAGGGCAGTGGCTGGCCAGAAGTGGCATGTCATTTATGGTCATCTTTATCAGGCACCAAGGCCGATCACCATCCAGTCCTTGTGCAAGCAGGTGAGATCGCAGGAGACTCTCACTCCGTCCTCTGGCCTAAAACAAATGTAACTCATTCACCTCTGGCTGAAGGGTTTTGGTGGTGACAAAACCTTACCCTACACCAGCTGTTTAATTCCAGACATTTCAGGGCACTTCTAAAAACATTTAGCAGTTAACATCTACCAGATCAATGGAGTGTTGCCAAAGTACTGGAGTGAGACCAGTGCTCCAGCCAGGCAACAATCTGCCTCATGCAGTGACAGAAGGAGATGCTGCCTTGGGAGTCCACAAAACCCATCTACCTTCAGCTGTCCCTTCTTCTTCCACCTTCTGGGCCCTGCACCAGAAAAGACTAAAGGCTCCCCAGTGGAAAAGTAGAGCCTTGCCTTTGGCAGGAAAGTGACTTCTTACAGAAATGGCCAGCTGTGTGTGGAAAGGTGGGACATTTGGCATTGTCAAAAGGGATCACCTTTTTCCCCTGCGATAGAACAAGCCCATCCCCTGAGCTCCGTGCCTCCATCACCAGTCACTGCACAACGCGCAGCGGCACAAGGAGCGAGGCCGGGCGCTCGCCCCTTCCCAAGATGGCGGGCGCCGCCCCCGCCTCAGCGCCTCGGCGCGCCCCCGCCCCAGCGCGCGAGACCCGCCCGCCGCGCGGCGGGGGAGGGGAGCGAGGGAGCGCGCGCGCACGTGAGCGCCCCGAGGCTCTCCGGCAGGCGCTGTGTCCCGCCGTGCCATTGGCCGCCTCGCGAACCTTTCACCTTTTACCCGGCTGCGGCCGCCAATCGCCGGCCTTCTCTCATAGCGTGGGGGGATGCAGAGCGTGCGGACTGCGCAGGGCGGAATTCTCGGAGCGGGGTTGCGCCGCGGGCGCTGGGCGGCCCCCGTTGGTACGGGCGGGAGGGGCGGGGGCGGCGCTCCGTTTGCGTAGCGCCGGCCGTAGCTCAGGGGCAAGGGAGGGAGGGGGAGGCCGTCCCGGGCCCAGGTGAATGGAGGGACCTGACAGCTGCGGGGACTGAGGCGGCGGCGGCGGCGGGGAAATGGCGGCGGCGGGAGCACAATGAGACGCGGCCTGTAGTAGGGGGAAGCGCCGGGCTGGGTCCGGTCCGAGCAGGTAGGAGATGGCGCGCCGGGAGCTGCATGGCGGCCGAGCGCGGGTGTGTCGCGCCCGCTGGCCGCAGCTCCCGTGGTCCCGGCGCCTCGGCCAGAGGGGAGGGATGGCGGCAGCCTTCCCTCCCTCCGTCCCTCCCGGGGCCCGGGCGGTGCTGCCCCGCCTCCGCCCCAGCGGCCTCCCGGGCCCCGCGGTCGGCCTGGGCCGCTGCCCCGGCGGGGCCCGCACGGCCGGGCCGCGGCCCCGCTCGGCTTTGTCTGCGAGCGGCGCCTCCCGGGGGCTCCGGGCCCCCCGGCCCTGTCAGGGAAGGCAGTAAAGGAGTTGAAACTCAGCACTGCTGATGGTAAAGGCGATATAAGAATGTCTTGGTTCTTCTTTGCTTCCTTTCCATCCTTTTCCAGGGCAAATTAAGGCAGCGCGATTAAAGGCGGACCTTTTACTGTGTGAACGTGTGTTGAAAAGTGAAAGGTTGAAAGACATACATTTTTGCACAGGGCTTTTTTGTTGTATTAGGTAATATAGATGTAGCTCGCATGAGTAGAAAATGGGGGACGATACTGATATCTGACCAAAAAAATAAAAAGGTATTTTTTGTGTGCATTATGCTTAACCAGAAATTAGTGTTCAGTAAAAGTGAGTCTCAAAGTGAATAGTGAATCTCAGTTAACTGCTAACAGTCTGAAGGATGTTTGGCACTTCAGACCCTTCAGACCAGCTTTGAGTATTTTTGATGTTGAGATTTTGGTCTTCAAGTTAGGTGGTTGGCTCAAGTGGTGAAAGTGTGTATGTTGGAAGATTGTCTTCAGTTTTCTTTCTCTTAAGGTGGTAATGAAAACAGTTAACTTTGCAGACACTCAGTTTGCCCTGTGTTTTATGTGTTTTCTTTAAGCCACTCTGGATGTTCTGTTGAAATGCTGACTGCATGTGCATGTTCTGTAGGTGGGGGTGGTGCTTGTTTTAGCAAGTTCATACAGACACTAACTGCAAGTAATTTCATAACTATTTTCCCGAGTTCCTTTCTTAAGAGAGTCTTTCTTATTGTCTATTTCCACACTGTGTGCTTGAGCTTTGAAGATGTTACTAGCAAATTTCATCTGGAAGGTGCTTTTTTTACATCTTTAATAATTGGATTGTTACTTTATTAATTGGTAGAGTTAAAAATATGTATATATTTATTCAGAAGTGTTTACCCTGAATTAGTTACTGCTGTTCTTCAAAGCATCCTGATTACAGTTCTGTGAAAGTGGTAGGTCAGTACTTGGCAGCCACAAAGGGTTTAATATGAGAATTAACAATTGAGAAGACAATGACATCAATATGTCATTGTATAAACCCATTCTCAGTCCATATGTTTAACATTAAGTGCAGTTTGGGTATTTTCTCTCTCTCTCTTCTCCTTTAGAAAGGTTGTATTAGGCTAAGAGAAGTGTAGATGGAAAATTGACTGGGGCTTTTCACGTGAGGAAGGATATACCAGTGAAGGATAACAAACATCAGAAAGAGAGTCATGAAGAAAGTAGAAGAAGGAAGTGTTGACTTTTTGTTTGTTTCTCCTGTTTTTGAAGGATTTCTGTATCCTACAGGCTGAACACAAATGTGGTACTCCTTGACACTGTAACTGAACTACATGGTGCATCAGTCTGTTGGGAATGCCAGGAGTTTACCAGACAGTTGAAACAATTAATTTGTAGTGAGGTTTATCCAAGGGTCTAAGACCAAAAGTACCTTTTCAATCTTGGCAAACACCAAGGTGCAGCTCCATACATGTCCTCCACTGGTTACTGGTAGGGGGAAGCCAAACAAGCTGTTTTGTCTGTTATATTACAATAATGTTTTTCTAGAAGTTAAACTTTTTTTTTCCTTTCTTTTTAAAAATACCTTGTTCATCTGTAGCATACAAATGGAAAAAACCTAAAACCTGCAGTTTAAAAACGGATGCATTTTCATGGATTTTTTAAATGTAGTCCATAGATGTTTCTCCTTTCCCACCTCAAAAATGTGCAAAGTACATTGCCACCTTTTCAGCAAAGTATGGATTTGCTTCAGCACAGGTGCTGAGAGTCTGAGTATCCCTGCCTAACCCATGCTGGCTTTCAGTATGAGCTGTCTAAATGTACATTGATCTGTATTCAATGCAAATTACTGGCAAAACCAAATGAAAACATATGCATTATTTAAAAAGAGAGGAGTTATTTAGAAAAATGGATAAAAGAGCTGAAATAATTTGGTTTCTTTTTAGATAAGCTCTAGAATATAAGTGAGAGCAAAAATTCAGGAAGATTTTGAAAAGGATTCTAGGGCTTTAGGGACAATGAGGGTTACAGTAAGTGCTAAGATTACAGACAGGTTTTTTATTTTGAGGCATAGGTCACTTGATTGCTACCAAATTGTTTTTTGCCTTTTTTGCTTTTTTATATTCTCTATAGTCTTTACATTTATATATTTGTAGCTCCATAGCCTATTACTGTATTTGTAGCGAGCATTTTACCTACCCATTGGACAGAAAGACAAAAGAAATTCCCCAGCTCCTCTAAGCCCTGGGGGTCCGAGGTTAGGTCCTCTGGGAGATGTGGTCAAAATGACTTCTCAAGTCACATTTTCATGAACAAAGATTAGTTATTATCCTAGGGGGACTTTCAGAAAAGGGTAGAACCAGGGGAGGAATTGCCTTATCACCTGTGTCTCTAATTGGGGATTCTTGTAAGTTATGCTAATTTCCAAAAATAAAAAAATTCTATCTGCTTTATGTTATGTGTGCATCTCCAGTGCTTTTCATCCAGCATGTTGTGCCCCATAAGGATCCTTGTAAAGGTAACCCCTTTTTATCACCTAACTGTGTCTGGCTCATGATTGTAGGGCCAGTGAAAAGGCATCACTATTAGGCAGCAGGAAGAACTTCAGAACATTCTGAGATGGGTTGTTCTGTTCCATAATTCTCTCTGACCTTTTTCCCTCTCATGTAGGTAATACAAACTAGGGAGTACACTGAATGTGATGTGTTGTTGGCAGAACAGCAAGGTGGCTCCTGTGTCCTGGTGCCTGACTGTAACCATCCACTGGCCATCTGTATCCCATCACCTTCATGTGTTCAAGTAATTTCTTCAGACTGATAGCAGAAGTTTGGTTTTATTTATATAGATATTTTTAGGAAGTGCTACTTTTAAAGAAAGTTAAAGTATCATAGCGTTGTGTAGAACAGGAGCTTCTATAAAATGTTTGGAATGTGTTTTCAGAATGCTATATCCTGAAGGCTAAGAATAGTTGGAGTAGATCAGAAAGCATGATTTTGCTTGGCACCTTCCTGACATCTGTTTTTTCATCCTTTTGTGAGTGCCGTATGTATTGTGATAAGCCAGAAGAGAAGAAACTTGATATATAATAAAAATTAAAAGTTAATTTTTTGTCTGAAGTAGCAATCTTAGTTGACATTTCAAGTTTTGGTGTCTAAACTGTATTGACTGGGGGTATAGTAGCTTTAGGACTGTTACTAAAACATTCTAGAAGGCTTAATCTAGAGAGCAAAGTACTGCCTACTTTAATGTATGCCATGTTATTATATTAGGTAAACTCTTGGTTTTGATAGTTCTTGCATGCTTATCTAGTAACATAATGTTTCAGGTTTGCGTGCTGAGCAGTGTATTTGGAATTCCCTGTTATTTCTGCTCTGTATTGCAGACTGCATTAGTTAAATCAGTTTTCCATTATATTTATTACCTTCAAAATCATGCAGTCAAGAAACGGAGGACTGAAACTCATGTCAAGGAATTTACTTGCATTGTTGCACAGCTGGAGGTGTTGAAAGGCTGTTCTCTGATGGGAAAGAGAAGAAAGAGCAATATTTTCCACTTTCCCCTGGATCCAAGAGACTTCAGTACTGCTTGTTGTGGCCCTTCCTAGAAGTACAGTCCACTTGTCAGTCTGTGATCTGTGTTTTGGTTGGCATGAGTGTTACTAGTGAGTTCCTTCTCACCAAGGCAAAAAAATAGAGTTCTCTCTTGATCTTTGCTAATGGTAGTAGAAAATCTTGGTTTGCTATGCTTTCTTTTCTTTATGACAGTGACTCAGTACATCTGTGATGTAAGCTGGCAGGATCAGTTTCTGCCCATGATTTAAATGTTCTGTTATTCTTCATAAAGGATTAATTTCTTTGGGCTCATTGAATGAGAGTGAGAGATCTGAGAAGCAGCAGGGTAGCTCCTGACTTGAAGGATTCGTTGCTGGAAACAGAGGTGGTCAGTTTGGGGCTGTTTTAGCTGGCCTTGGGATTTTTTTGTTTGTTTTAAATATCAGTATCCTTGTATTTTTTCCATTTGTGCAAATGCACACACAAACATAAAAAAAACCCTTAACCCCAAATGTATGTTTGAACCAACCCCTTATTGTTAGTTATTAAAACCTGATTTCTGGTGCCTGTCTCCTCTTTTGGATTCTGATTCTTAATAATTTGTCAAGCCATGTAGCAGCCTTTCCTCAGCTGAAATGCTGGTAAGCTGGGTAGCAATAAAAAATTTAAGTATAAGAATTTAGGAATTTTATTTTTGAAAACTGAATTTGAACTTTAGACCTGTCCACTTACTGATTGCATAAGTCTTAAATCTCCTTTCCTTAGGAAGTGAGGTAAATACGTTTTGCTTTTTCAGGTTAATTTGTTTGATACCATTGAGATTATTTGGCTATGCAAGCATGTCTGGGCTGGCTACCTTTGCAATTCATG